TTCAAAAAGTGCTGTGTAAGCAACAGTCTGGATAGCACAGAAGATGATGTGTTATGGAGTGAGAATGATGGACATGAGTTGAGTAACGGGAGTTGAAACATGTGAAGATGATGATTGAGAGATTATTAAATGGTGGATGTGGTAAACTTGAAGTTTAATTCATGTACTGTATGAAATATTGATATGCACAAATGCATAATGCATAATGTTAATAAACATGTAAGTAATATAGATGTGTTTTTTTTCAATTTCATTACCTAGTAGGAAACTGATATCAAGTTATAAAAACAAAGGTCGTCTTATTGGGGTGTATTTTTTTCCCGAATTTCAAGGTGTAAAAAAAATTACTAGTCTTATATTCGGGTAAATACGGTAATTAATACTTTATTACATTGTTGTGATATGTTCTGCTGTATTTGGGTTCCTGGCTAGCTTCAGTTTGAAGCCAGCTGACCCTTGATGTTTTCTAAAATGGCTGAAGTAATTAATATAAAATTATGATAATTAATGAGTAATTAATTAGTATTGAACGATGGCATGCAGTTTGTTATGGTCCGCTTTGGGGTGACTAGCCAGCTTCAGAGAGGCCTGGATGAGGTAATGAGCAGTGGCGAGCTCTCTATGCGCTAATATTGACGAATCCTCCACGTGCTCCTCATTGCTTCGTGGCTATTTGTCAGTTAACTTTTAATATTTCGATTAAAATATCCGTAGATTTTTTAAATATATTAAATTCTTCACTGAAATATTGAAAAATGCTTTATTTTTATAATTTTGTTTGGTCATCAGCGCATCTATCGATGACCAAACGCCTCGCCACTACTACAATTTCACAGCTGATTTCTACATTTGGTTTCGTTAAGGACGGCATGAATAAATAAGAGAGAAGGAGATACAAAATTCATTGTAGCGCTATACTTCGTTTTACTACTAAAGATGCAAACATAACACTGGCATTGTCTGCCGAGTAGTTTCACGAACTGTGCGCGGCTCATGAGCATGAACAAGCGCTTCCGCACAAGGAATTTTGAGACTTCGTAATAACCCGCTTTCTTGCCTCTTGCTAGAATCGTTTAAAACTAGGAGCTACAACAACACACACTTTCTCGCATCATTTCTAACTGTTCCGCTATATTATACTTCTGAACAAACAACAGTATTTTTAATCAGCAAATTGTTTCCGCACCGTTACACGGACTAAGTCGTTCAAGTTAACGCGCCGTTGAGCCTTACCTCTACGCTAAGAAAACACGGCGACGCTGAAAAATATAACTGTCGCAACCCAAATTTCCAACACGCAATTTTCTAAAATTCAGGGAGAGCAACGAAATTGAGACCTTGACCATTCTATTAAACGTCCCATGCTCAATATGTGAACAAAATTTAAAGAAAATAATAAGACCAGTTTGTGAGAAAATGTTATTTTTATAATTTGCATCAACTTCAACCCGAAATTACGTGAAACCTACTCCTTATTTAAAAAAATGTATTTGGCCTTTTCTAAAGAGCTGATTTCTTATCAGAGAATTTGTTTAAGTTAAAACCCTGTCTTCAATACTGTAGATTTCATATGTTAACTTTAGCAATTTTTTGAAAATACTGAGGGTTTACCGACAAGGGACTAGCACCACATTTTTACCACTCTTTGTTACATACGAAGAGATAACTTAATGAAAAATTTGGAAATGTTTTAAGAAAACATTTTTTTAGAAATTGCATAAATTTCAGACAAAAATTAAGAGAAATCTACTCTTCTTTTAAAAAATGGTACATGACCTTTTTTAAAGAGCTGATTTTTTTTACAACAGACTTTGTCTAAGGCAAACTCTACAATTACGTGATTTTGAAATTTTAACATTTTGCAATTTTCGAAAACACGGAGAGTTCACCGAAAATAGGAGTAGTACCATAGTTTTTTACCGTCCATTGATACATATGAGGAGAAACTTTAAAAAAATATTGAAACATTTTTAATTTTAAATTGTTTAAAATTTTTTAAAATATCCTATATTTCAAGCAAAATTACGCCAAAAGCACTCAAATTTTCGAAAAATTGTACATGACATTTCAAAATCTGTCTTTAAGGAACTGTCATCATTAACGGAAAATATATTTATTTTTAAAGCTATAATTATAAGACGACGCCAAAAAATGATACACTTTTGCCATTTTTGAAAAATCAAGGCTTTTACCGAACATGAGACCTGCACATTTCTGTTAAGCGTCTATTACGCTACAACACAATTTAATAAAAAAATTGGAGCCATTATTTTTTTAAATTTTGAAAATGTCCCAGGGGCTTCATGTTAAGTACCCCCCGAATTCAAAATATCGGTTTCAAATTCAACGGACCTCGAAATCAGCCAGATCGATTGGGGTATATCAATTTTGGAGAAAATCAGCTGAACGGTTTACCTGCTAGCGTTGGTTACAGCCGTCAATCGATTTTCGGTGTCAAGAACCCACAAAACATGGATTCTGGCTACACGTGTTAGAGGATTCCCCCCACCCTAAATTTACTGGATTCAAAAAAACAACAACCCTGGATGTATACACTTTTACCAGGGCTCTGTAATAAGTATTTCTGCCGAAAATTCACCGTTTTTCCGCGGAGTATTACATAACTTTCTCTCTACTGTGTAAGCGGAAGCGAGAAGGTAAAAAATCGGCGTCTTCCTTTAACTACAATATTGAAGATAAGGAGTTTTGTCTCAGTGATACCCGCTAAAATTAGATGTTGATATAATGTCATGTAAAATCTCCGAATTTTTCGAGGATTGCAAATTAAAATGCAAAATTTTTAAAGCTTCGGGAATCCTATTACTGTCATTTTGGTGATTGGTGAACAACTTTCTAAACTTAAGTATCTGAATTCGAATCACAGTGGGGTGAAATAGTTTTGCTGTTTCAAACAATTTTGTGTGTTCAAATAGTATTATAATATTCACCATAGGAAGCACCAGAATATTCCAGTCAACTTGAGGTTTTTTCTAATAAAAAATGTTCCATTTAGGTTGAATTTAAAATGTATTTTTAATTATTGACTTACGGTTAATTTTTATAAAGTTAACAATTGATATACTGAATGACTTTCATTAGTACAGCAAATTAGTTAAAACTATATTTTTGAAAGTGTCGTTGGTTGATGGGGGGAAGCTAGCTGAAGGCCTTCGAGTTCACCAACCTTCAGTGCACCACTGACATTGCATAATTGTTAACAATGCAAAAAATTATTTGCTTCCTTTGTAAAAACAAATATATGTAGATTTTAAACTTTTGTCACTCTTACATTTTTGCAAAGAATATACCAAATATATACCAAAAACCAAGATAGCTGAAAGATGGAGTTGTAGATTACATTTAATAAAGTTAACAGATCCGATTAATTTTCCATGAAAGAAAAATGTTTTCCGAAGTGCTCTCAGACCAAAAATATTAGGGAACATCTACACGATGGTCAAGAATAAGAGTCCCTGAAATTATCAGATAATTTAACAATTCAGAGTTCTTCAAATAGTTAAGATCAATACAATGTACTGGAGATAATATTTGCAGAGGAGTAACTCCATACAAACAGAAAATAAGCATTTCTGAAGATTTAAGAAATTTAGTTAATTCCTCCACAAACAATTTAAACTTTCATTATATGAATGGGTGAAAACCAAAACAGTTTAAGTGATATTTTATAAATTCTGAGAAAAACATGTTTATTTTAGGCTGTATTTCACTGGCAATGTATTTTCATGGTTTTAATAAACAACTGAAATGCCGTGATTTCAATGATGGAACAAAGTACCAAGATTTTACAGTGATATTGTCTTAAGTAAACAGATTTCTCAGAATTTATTAAATGACACTTCTATTGTTCTAGTTTTCACTCATTCATGTGGCAATTCATTCTATGGCTGTGAAACATGTGCATTAAGACACACACACGAAGAGAGAAATTTCTGAAAGAAAAATGTTTAATTGAATATTTGTGCCAACTGAAGAGGAAAAAGGACAGACCGTATTGGTTAATTACAGAAACTGATGAATTCTCATATCATTAATTAATTCATAAAGCCACAAGAAATCAGATGACATTTAATATGTACAGATGGGATAAGCACAAAATATACTTAAGAATAGAGCTATATTTAATATAAATAAAATGTAGGAAAATATCTGAACATTGAAGACTGCTGACAGTGTTGATTTTTAAACGAAGACCAATAACCAATAGGAAATCACCACAATCTTTAGTATTGATTGATCAGCACAGACAACTGTGGAAGAAGCTAAATCTCAGAGGATTTTACTGCCAGAAGAAGAAAAAGTACAATATATTAATACCTAATAAGCAAAAATATAACAAACAATAAAAAGTTTGTAATTTGTAGTGTTCCTCATAGAAATAATAAATGACATAAATGACACTCTAAAATAACCTTATCAAGAGTTGCTCAGTGATCATAAAATGACACAAGATAACACCTCTTGCAATTTTATCTTATCATACAATTTCAAAACATTACTTAATGCCTACTCTATCAATGACATTCATTATTTCCTCAACAATGCTTTTTCAGCTATACTATTTAATTAAGTGAATAAATCAAGAGTGAACACAGCTGCAAATTTCACCTACTCAATTGAATAATATGAAAAGCTGAATCAGTCAGGTCAATCCTATAGTTTAATATGTTGAATAAGTCATAAAACTTGCCATAATGTTCATTTTGTGGTGTAGAATTTCCAATCAAGATCTTGGAGCTAACCATTACAGTATTTGCAAGTTTAACATTCAAAATAATAGGACTCTGGCTGATGGCATGTAAAAATACAATTGCAAATGAAATATTTGTTAATTTTTCCATGAGTTTATTCACAAGCCTTTTCATCACTTGTCAATAATTGACAGTGATTGTCTTTTTTTTTAATTAATGGTTAACTTGTCAATAAAATGTGAGACTTGAAGCATGACACCAATGTGATGTTGGTATACTCATTATACGTACCGGTACGAGACGTGAATATGTGTGTGTGAAAACTCTAATGAAAGCCATTTCACAGCATCAGTGCACCTTCACTTTAAGGACACAAAATTGATCTGTAAAGAGAAGTTGTCATTAGAACGTTGAATTTCAGACACTATTTAGTTATTTCGAACATAACACGCAAACACTTCTAGAGATAGTTTTGAGGAAATCAGTAATAAAATTAATCACTCAATCACGTGACTAACCCACGTTTAAACGACAGAGCTATTATTTGGCTATAATGTGAAATTGGCATTGACACTTAACTCGGGCAAATTTGATAATTGATTATATCACACTGACCAAAAATGTTGACCGTTGACAACGGGAAAGTATGTTTAAAATGTCAGTTCTACTGTACAAAGCTCAAGAGCTTCATTCATACTGTATTTTTCGGTAAAGCTATTTGAATTTGCACATTTTATCCCTCGGATTTTCTTCCTCACTGTTGTTCGCTTTGTTACGTTGTCACTCTTTACGTCAGTCACTTGTTTCGATCAGCTGTTACTTACTGCCAACGTCAATGAGTACATTCGACAAAATAAAACAGTATTTAAAGTATATAAAGTAGCTACTGTTTGAGACATCCAACTCTGATTACTATCAGAGTATTACGTAAAATAAGAATATAAAACAACTTATCTGTACGATAATTTAATTTTCTGGATAACGTGCTGGCACTTTAACCTAATTTCCTGGCGCGCTGCATTCAACCATGTGGAATTAGATTTCGAAATTTGGATACTAGAATATCATAGAAGAAAAATCGTCCATGGTATAGAAGTTATTTATCCATAGTAATACCATAGGATAACAAATGTTCATCCATGGTAATACTTTGACCAGTAAATTAAAAATAAAAGTAGTTAACTCACAAAAATTAAAGTAAAATAAACCTATTTTCTACAGTACTCTGCTAGGAGGGTAGCTAATTCTTTTCTGAACTATTTCTTTAAATGAAATGCTCTCCCTGCGATACTTTTCCGTCAGCACACGTAAAGCACATTCAAAACTATAGTTAGTGCAGAAAGTGAACGTACACCTCAGAAAATATGGTAGAAACATCTACCATAGAATATGAACAAGTTGGTGGAGAATTATTTAAATTACAGAAATAAGATCCCAGGAAATGTTATTTTTATTATCTCATATTACAAAACTCAAAATTACTAACCCCATAATATGTACAAACAAAACACCTTTATAGGCTACCGTTCTTGAATGCACAAAAAGTCGTCGTATACTTGTGCTTAACAAAAATTACATCATTTACCGTGTATTGTTTCTATTTGCTTTATTGCTTCCAGTATTTGCGGCACGGATTTTACCAACTATGTGTCTAGTTGCGGGGCCAATAAAACTTCAATCTCTTAGTTTAAGCTCTCTCATGTTAAGCCCTGGTTGATTAGACACCAGAATGTTTTATTTTTTTATTCCAAAACAGACAACATACGATCTTTAGAATAAATGTCATGGAATTGAGAAAGTGTATGAATTTGTTTGTGTGATGTAGAGCAGCTATATTCGAGTAGTGAAAGCTTTATATTTCGGGTCACTCATGTTTAATCACAAAGTTATTTCCAAGACCCAATTCCATCGCATTAACGTAGATGTTTTGTAAATATACTTATTATAATCATTCACATAATTGATTACATGCTGACCAGAGGCGTAACTTTCGGGCTCCCAAGGCCCGCAATGCAGGCGGGACCGGATAACAGGGCCTCTTTTTGGGATGGTTTTGCGATTGTAAGAAATACTAATTACTTGAAACTTCCTCTGATACGTTGCGATAGTTGATACAATAAAATATTGAAACAGCATCTTCCAGAAGAAGGATTTTTCTCGTTTCTATAGCTTATGTAACCCTTTTTCTAAATCAATAACGGTAAGATATTCATTTTGGTTTCATGTCTTAATTTCATAAAATTTAATAATAAAGGAAGAGTTTCCCCTATTGATTATAAGCACTTCACCATTGTTAACAATAAACACGACACATAAACTGTATTTCGATTGTTATTGTTTCGTGCTAGTTTTCAATGTAAGTACTGTTTTTAAAACTACAGTCTGCTATTAACATTAATTTATTATGTAGCAATAATGCAGTAATGAATATGAATTTGTTAAGATATATTATTGTAATATTGTAAGGTATTAACACTACTTGTGATTGCTATACACAAGTGGCGGATCGATGGTCCTCGTGGCCTCCCTCAAAAGGTCTTGAGTTTTCGTTTATTACCTTCCATTATTTGACAGAATTGATTTAAGCCGGTCCGGATGGCCGAGATCGGCAAGGCAGTAGTGCCGTAGCGATCTCCGCCGCGAGTTCGAGTCCCGCCTCAAGCATGGTTGTATTGTGTGTTCGCCCTTTCGCACCCTAATGACATCATCATATATTGTCACACTCACAGTTACCATACCGTTACACACAGTAGTGGTCGCTAATGACCTAACAGTTGATGCAACCTCAAATTTTAAACAAAATTATTTAAATATTTATGTTATAATTATGTAACTATTTAAAGAATATTGTGTTATACCATATATGCGCTACAAAAATATACAATATAATAACAAATATGTTTATTATTTAACAAAAATCTATGATGGCCCCCAAAATGATCGGTTGCTGCTAAACATTTTTATAAAGGAGGCCCGAATAAAAGTTTTGCGGGAGGGCCCGCACTCATTTCGTTATACTTGCTTTTTATTTCTGGGCGTGTGAGGGCCAGTCTTCACGGCGGAATATCTACCGGCATTTCGCGTCTTTCTCGGTCAAGCCGCTAGATTTTGCATGACTGCCAGTGCCACTGCTCGATATGGTCGCGATCATGCGACATCAAGCGGCACTACCGAGAAAGACGCGAAATGCCGTGATATATTCCATCGTGAGGAACGCCCTCACGCGTACACGCAGAAATATAATCCCTAAGAACGAATTACATAGAGAGAAAATGTGTACAGATACAGCGTTCCTGGTTGAAACTTCTTTCACTACTGCCCGCAATGTTTTCTGGGGGCAAAAAAATCTGAGTCATTTGAGGGTTGTACGTATTTTTATTACAAAAGTACACGATTTTGGCGTATTTTGGTGCCGTGCAAAAATATTTATAACAAGATTATTAAATATATATTTTTATATCGACGTTACCGGTACAGTTAATTGTTCTCAAATTTTTGTAAGCACATTTCAATAGAGATATCAATTTAATTTTTTTTTTTAAATTAGCTTTAATCAGAACTGTACGACTTAAAAGTTATTTTTTTAAAACAAAACCAAGTGTTACTTAGAAGAAAGAACAAATTTAATTTGTACTACTAGTAAGCAATATTAAACTTCACTTTCTTTTATATTAATCTGCATGAATTTAACATGTTTTAAATATTACATCTCTTCTAAAAGCACTTCCATCGAATTGACAGTTACGCGCACGTTCTGACATTACAATCAGAAAACATGGCGGCTGTATTTAAGCTTCAAATATGGCGGTCACATCCCCACTCTATAGATTTCTATCTCGTAAAAACCCAAGTATACCCTTCTGATGCAGGCATTTATACACTCCTAGACCACGGCACTGCAGCCATGTTTCATTGTAGGCACAACACGCAGAGGGTCTATTTCTTCTTCAATGTTGTATCATGCGATGCGACTACCGCCAAACTTAAATATTACTTTTACTTTTATCAGAAATTGTGACATAATGAGTGGCGGCTGGTAGGTGTGGGCTGCGGGGATGCAGACCCCCCAGTCAGTCGGAATTATTTAATTTCACTTTGATATTAAAATAAAATATGTGAAATAGTATTTCATTCAATTACATGACCAATATAGCCGACTGTTGGTGCGTTGTAACTTGCGAAAAAGCTTCCGCCGTGTTCCGCTGCGATTCCATTTCCCTCCTTGGGACTGCCAGTCCCTGCTGCTTGCAGCGAAGTATTGGCATAGTTCATTTCGCCTTCCCCCGCTGTTTAAGTACCTCAATATTGGGAATCTAAGGGCTGCAGGAAATGCAGTCCTTTCCTAAGTTTTGCGCGACGTTTACGTTTTTTTGTTTTTTTTGTTTTTTGTTTACTTTCTCGCAACGAAGTAGAGATAAAGTTATGTAATGCAGCCCGAAATAACAACGAATTTTCGGCAAAAAACTCATATTACAAGGTTCTGGTAACTAAAAAGTGGATAAATCCAGTTGCTAAATTTAGAAATAAACGCCTCCAACACGTGGTGTAGCCTGAATACTGATTTTGTGGGTCCATGAAGCCGAAAAATCCAATGACGGCAAAATGTATCCGTCCGTCTGTGAACAGCTAGCGGCTAAACCGTTCAGCCGATTTTCTCCAAACTTTATATTCCTCAATCGATCTGGCTGATGTCGCAGTGCCTTGAATTTGAAACCGATATTTTAATTGTTGGAGGTACTTCGCATGAAGATCCATTAAGCATTCGGCTCCATTCGCATGAAGCCACATTCTCAAAATTTTCAAAAAAATAGCTCCATCATTTTTTATTAAATTTTATTATTGCATAGTGTGATGGGCGTTTAAGAGTATAGTGCTGGTCTCAATTTGTTGAAAAGCCTAATTTTTCTAAAACTGCAAGAGTTCAAATTTTTTTCGGAGTCTTCCTCAAACTAAAATGTAGATGATAAAAAATGTTTCCCTTACTGAACTCTGTTTCTTACATATAGATTTTGAAAAAAGGTCTTGTACAATTTTCCAAACTTTGAGTACTTTTCGGGTAATTTTGCGTGAAAATACAAGTGGGAAAGTATGTCCTGTTTTAGCACCACTAATTCGTGTTTAGAATGGGTACGAATAGTAATTCTGTTCAATATTCAAAAGCTGTGAAATTTCTACCGTTATAGCTGCGAAACTTAGAAATGCGATATAAATGCTCACGGAAGACCTATAGCGGTGAACATATCTCAAATCATTTTCTATTTTTGCATGCAGCTTCCCCCCCCCCCCCCATTAATTAAAGGTAGTACCAGCCACCACTGGACATAATTCAAAACGTCCGATCCTTTATTTCAGTACTTTTGCAAAATTGAATCGTGATATGCTATTTGCCTTCCTCACGAACATTTTCCGTATTGATACCAATTTCACCCACAAATATTGTACTGTACTAGCTACCACTTCAGCCTGATGTTTTCTCAATTCCTCTCCCAAGTTTACGACACAAATTTTGGAGCCCTTCTTCTTTTCTCGAATACTAAATCGTTTACTATCTGTTCTCTGAACGCTTTTGGCCTTCCTGTTCGGAGACGATGCTTCACTGTAATATTAACAGAAAACCTATCAATTGTTGACTGCACTGTTTAAAAAAATCGACTCGAATTTACAAGTGCAGATATTTTTTGAAAATATTGCGAAAAGATTTCCACTCATTGTGCATTTTTTATTACTTTTCTTGTAGTGCCTCGTGTTCCTGTGTGGTTGCTGTCCATTTCACCCCTCACGTTATAGTTAG